GGACCGGACCGGACCGCCCGGCGGCGGGGTCACCTGTCAGCGTGGGAGCCGTTACACGGCAGCGCTGTCCAGTCTCCTCACACGTTAATCTGCGTTCCTTTGACCTGTATTACATCTGATGTTCGTTATCGTTACTTTGCCGTTATCTTCCTCACTTTGACGGGAGCTTCCCGCAATGATGGGGAACTGTGTACATTTATAGGCCATGTGCAAAGTTAGTTTTGCCTGGGGTGCAAAAATATGAACTTGTAGCCTTGTTTCGGCTGGAGCCGCATTACGCAGCAATGTGCTTTTTTCAGCAAGCCACCTTATTCGAGCGTTAGTAACTTATTTTTAGGGGGGGTTCAGGTGTGCAGCGGGGGAAGGACGGAGCGCGGTACCACCTCGGCTCTCGGCGTAAAGGGGCACGAGCAGCTCCAGCGAGCTCTGCGGGACGGGACGAGACGGGACGGGACGGGGGTGAGGCCACGCGCCGGAGAGCTGGGCCGCACCCCGGCGCACTGCGGAGGCTCTTCAGCCTTTTTAGCTGCACGGGTCATGTCGTAAAATCCAGGGCTGTTGCAAGAACTCCAGAGTTTGAGGCTACCGTTAAGGTTTTAAGCAAAGGCATCGTTAGAGCCCGTCGTCACAGAGGCTTATGACATGCAGCTTTGGGCCGGCAGAACTTAATCAAGACCGCTCAACTTGTTCCACACCAACTATCATCAAAGCTGGCATCATATGGAGCAAGTTTCAGTTAGTACTGCTCTAGGCCAGGTTCATATCTATGAATTATTGAGGACCTCTTTCACCAACATTAAGTCATTCAGACCTTGCCAATGTTCCTTCAGTTAGAATTAAAGATTTTAATTTAGCCTGAACACTGAGAGGCAAAATAAATGAGCACCTGCCAGAGAGAAGCAAAATAAAAGTAGCATAAGGGAACGAGGTTTCAAGGCCCAAGGTAAAGATTTAATTAAAGCAGGTTGCATGGTTGTGCTGGCGGCAGCCACCCTTGCCAGAAGGGTCAGGTTCGCTTCCCTCCTTAAGCGCAGGTCCCTCGCACAGCCCTTGGATCTGAGCAGCCCGTAGACCTGCATTGCAAAATACATGGAATGGGAGAGTAGGATCTAAAAGTTAAGGGCCGCCGTCGGCACAGAAGCTTTCCGACAGATTGCTCGGGAGCGAGTTGCTTTGCAGCGTTCATAAACTATGCAGCTGACCACAGCGCATGCAGTACGTCCAACAAGTGGTTCTTCCTCCTTTCCCTTCCTAAATACCCCATCTTTCCAAAGAAGAGCACTGTTTACATGTGGTCATACGCAATGTCAGTTTGGACTCTCTGAGTCCCAGCGTGGCAGGGAATACGCTGACGCTTACTAAAAGCAAGGTGACAGGGTATGCACTTCTAATCCAAAAACCATCTGAAATAAGTCATCTCAGTTACCATAAGAAAAATGCTTCCAGGTGTTTAGACTTGGGGCAGAAGAGGTCACAACTGGCAATTCTGAAAAGCAGGAAAACGTTATACCCAGGAGATTTCTGAGCTATTAATGTCATGAACTACACAGCCAAAGAGATGGTAGGTAAGATAATGGTAAGAGATGGTGAAATCGGGTAGGAGTATAAAAAGGTTCTGTTTAAACTTTTCACATCATTGGGAAATAAAACAGTACACTTAGAAGAGGGAGACACTCATTTTTTGAAGATGGAAAATGTGGGCATGCCTCCAATAGCAAGGAGTTCAAATGACTTTCTGTCACCAGATTCGCTTAAACTGGTAGAGGCAACACGGATTTAAGACAATAAATACAATGTGAATGAAATGATTCCATGAAATTAATCCTAGATTTGTGACGTGTAATCTTGCAAATTTCATTCAAAGCAAGGAAGTTTCATGATAACTCTACAAAAGCTATTTTACCTGAAGGAAGATGGGATTTAACCCTGGATAGCAGAGAGTGGAGCAGAGCCCCTCAGCCGGTTATCTGCTCAGCATCAGATCTAGTTCCCTGCTCTCGTGTGCTCCCAGGTAATCACAACTGGCTGAGCGATACTTGGCCAAAAGTTTCACTTTGAGAAGCTCAGAGTCCACAACTTGAAATTAAATGTGGCCCCATATTAAAGCACTAGATCTGAGGACTACCGAGTTTTAGGAGAGGGAGATTCCAAATACATTTTTACTCCAAATGTGGATTTGTTGCAAACTTTGCATTTCACCCTTAGCGTTATTATAGGCTGCATCATTGTG